CTAATATTATAATTTAAATATTTATGTGCATATACATACACGTACCATAATACGCTCTGTGTGCGATTCTTGGGCAACGCACGATGATCACACGCGCCACCTCGGTGATCGACTGGACTAGTGCTGAGCCCCTGGCGAAAGGGTCCCTCCGGTTTTCGTGCGCACGCCCAGGGCTATCGCCGAGCGACGTATCCGTCCGATGTCCCATCGAAGCTTTTTCGCGCGGGAAACTCTGTTTCGTTTTTCTCGCGCCGTTTTCTTGCGACGTCCACGCCGGATGACTCTCGCTTTACCTACGCCGTAACGATTTACGTAGCTATATGCATACCGATATAATAATTGTATTATATTGGTAGGTATATCTATATGTGTATAAATCTCACGGTGCAGAGGCTTCGCGTGGTCCACCCCCGCGGCGTGAAAGTCTCCACGACACTACCGTACACGATAGACGATTCGCAAACGATTATAGAAAATCTCTTAGACGCTTTCCGCACTTTCAGTAGCGACAATTCCAATCACCGTCACCACGTTGTGTGTTGATTTATATTATTACGTATATATTGTTTCGTACTGACGATTAGGCCACGCGATTGAAAACATTTATCATGTGTGCAGGCGGTACAACAAGTTTCCGGAAGACGGTTGCAATCGATATTCGACTCGCTCCGAATTATTATCAAGTATCTCGCATCGATCGTATTATAGCGTTGTATGGATGATAAAAAATAAAAAAAGTCATTATAGTAAATCTCTTAGACCCTTTCCACTTTCAATCTCTGTCATTGTATGTAATACGTTAGATCTCGTTATAAACAATAGYCATGGTCCAAAAAATGTGATTGTGAAGTTACCGGGGCGGTTACAATCGACGTTCGACCCACTCCGAATTACATACAAGTGATATGTCTCCTCTCATCATTTGAATAAGATTCCCCAAAACCCAACTGGATTCGAACYAGAGACGATTTTTAATTTCTATTTTAGTCACGTCATATTATTGTGATAACAGTATAACGACGATATCAGCGGTTTGGCAGAATTTATCGAATGCCGTTGGTTTGGTAGTTATATTGCAGGGGTGGCCAATAACCTTAACTTTGGGAGCCGCAAATTTGTAAAGTTAATTCGAGGTGAGCCACACATTGTAAAGCAATGTTTACAAAATAAAGATACATTTTTCATTTTAAAACAAATGAAGGAACATTTATTTACTTTTAATTTTAGTCTAAGTTTGGTTCAAGAGCCTCACGAAATTGATTTAAGAGCCGCATGCGGCTCG